TTTTTTTTTTTTTTTTTTTTCCATTTATTTATTTTATTGCATTTTAGGTTTTGGGGTACATGTGAAGAACATGCAAAATTGTTGCATAGGAACACACGTGGCAGTGTGATTTGCTGCCTTCCTCCCCATCACCTACATCTGGCATTTCTCCCCTTGCTATCTCTCCCCAGCTTCCCACCCCCCACCGTCCCTCCCCTATTTCCCCCCAACTGACCCCAGTGTGTAGTGCTCCCCTCCCTGTGTCCATGTGTTCTCATTGTTTAACACCCGCCTATGAGTGAGAACATGCGGTGTTTGATCTTCTGGTCTTCTGTCAGTTTGCTGAGAATGATGGTTTCCAGGTTCATCCATGTCCCTACAAAGGACCCAAACTCATCGTTTTTGATGGCTGCATAATATTCCATGGTGTATATGTGCCACATTTTCCCTATCCAGTCTATCGTCGATGGGCATTTGGGTTGGTTCCAGGTCTTTGCTATTGTAAACAGTGCTGCAATGAACATTCGTGTACACGTGTCCTTATAGTAGAACGATTTGTAATCCTTTGGATATATACCCAGTAATGGGATTGCTGGGTCAAATGGAATTTCTATTTCTAGGTCCTTGAGGAATCGCCACACTGTCTTCCACAATGGTTGAACTAATTTACACTCCCACCAACAGTGCTTCTTAAAGAAAGGATTGGTTGGGTGTGGACAGTTGGTGGTGGTGTAGCTTTCTTGATATGCCAGTTTTCCAGACCTTGCCTTTCCAGGCCCATGTGCCACAGTGAGGGGAAATTACGGTAGCAGTCATTAGGCTGTAGGTAAAATTGTCAAGAGACAAGGGTTGTTAGTTTCCAACTCTCTTTTGTTGTTTTCAGAACTGCTCATCTCTTCCCCATCCTCTTGCACGGTCATGGTTCTGTTTTATGACCCAGTTATCTGATCCCCATTCCAGTCTCTGTCTCTCCTGCCCCTGCTAGTCTTTGGCTTCATGGAGCAGAGTGTCTTCCGTGCCTGTTGCTAGGAGCAATTGGCTAGCATAGTGATGGGCTAGCTTACTTGCTGCTGATGTGATGCTGCCTCTTGGAATAAACATAAAGACTTGGTTTTGCAAGTCTCTGATCTCTGGGGGTGGATACTTCGGGGCAGAAGTTGTTCAGAGTATAGAAGGTTTAGGATTGCCAGATTTAGCAAATAAAAATATAGGCTGCCTCATTAAATTTTGGATGTTAGATAAACAATGAATACTTTTTAAAAAAGTATAAGTATGTCCCAAATATTGCAGGGAACGTGCATTCTGTATTTTGTCTTGCAACCCCATGTCAGCTACTCATAAAATATGACATGCCATTTGCTCTAAGCTTAGTTGTTAGGCTTCGAAGAGGCTCAAAATCCACTCCATTCCAGATCTTTCAGTATGGATAATACCAAAAGTATTCCAGATATTTTACTGGGTCTGTGATTGCAGTGAGGAGAAATCACTTGGGCCGCCCTGGGCTGGAGCCTCCAATTCCTCACGCGCAGTTTCTCCTAGTGCCGCTGGGTGGTGCTGAACTCGTGGTTTTGGGCCTAGACCCGGTTTCCCTCTCGTTTTATGCTAATCATCTAGTAGGTGTTGGGGAGGGTGCTGTTCTTTTCATGTGCCTAGTGCTGCTGTAACTGACTTATTCAGACGAGTATGGCTTTGGTTCTGACAGAAATTAAAATGCCGTTTTGTAGGCCCTTGTTTCTATGTTTAAGATTTGAGTAGGTGGAGGTACTTTGCGAACATGTGAGCAAAAATGGGAAGCCGCAGTTTCCCAGAGACCCGGAGAGATGGAAATGAGCAGCACGTGGCCCGCCCCCCATGCCAGGCTCCGTCCTCCTGGGTGGACAGAGCTCTCCCTCCCTGCCCTCCCCGTTTCTTAGCTGGATGGGCCCTGGCCTTATGGGACATCTTGTCTCTGGCGTGGGGTCTGTTAGGAAGGTGTCACTTCCTGGCTCATTTGTGGGTGCTGCTTTCAGGCCTCAGTGGGGTGGCATTGAGTTGGCTTTTTCCCGTGTGATTCATTGGCACTCTGTTTGCTTTTCCATTGCATTTTGTTCAAAATTGCCTAGGTGCAAGGAAAAGCCCTCATATCACGTAATTTAAACAGCAGTAGAACTTGAGAGCTAATGGGAATGTTTATATCAATGTTAGTAGGAGATAATCCTATTTTCTCTTTCAAAGTTTAGTTTTGCGTCAAAAAAATCATATTTTTTTTCCTGAAATTAATTGGCCTTATTTCCTAATTCAGGTAGTTTTATGATTACTATGTCATAGAGTTTATCTGTGGATTAGCCATCTGTATCTTGGACTGACAAATTCAAGGAGAACTGCAAAGCTTTCATTTAAACTCAGTGTGTTTCTTGATAGTATTTTTTACCTGAGAGACATTGTGCAAATAAAACTCTATGGTGCTAAGCATGCTTGTTACAGATATTTTCTCTATATCCTTGACCTGTGAAAGTTTACCTTTTAAAAAATATATGTATTTATTTTATATTGCAATTTTTTTTTTTTTTTTGAGACAAAGAGTCTTGCTCTGTCACCCAGGCTGGAGTACAGTGGTATGATCTTGGCTCACTATAGCCTCTACCTCCCGGGTGTAATCAATTCTCCTGCCTCAGTCTCCCGAGTATCTGGGATTACAGGTGCCTGCCACCACGCCCAGCTGATTTTTTTATATTTTTAGTGGAGATGGGGTTTTGCCATGTTGGCCAGGCTGATCTCGAACTCCTGACCTTAGGTGATCCACCCGCCTCAGCCTCCTAAAGTGTGGGGATTACAGGTGTGAGCCACCATGCCTGGCCTATATTGCAGATGTTTTTATATTAAATTGGAACCTTTAACACTGAAGTCAGTTCTTGTATAGGACAGTCACATTTATATGTGGTGACGTCTTTTTGAGAGTGTTGTTTTATTTTCTTCCACTTGCTCACACATATAGGATTCTTTCGTAAGGATTACAGTTTAGTTATAGCTGTATTGCTTTTCACAGCATACGTATCTACTTTAGGCTTGTTAATTATTTTGACATCTGACCTAATTAAGTCAGCTTGATTTTCTGGGAATTCAAGCAGCACTCAGTATTTTAACTGAACTAAAAGAAGGAGGGGAAGAGAATCTTATCCTATGTCAAATGAACTTTGGTAATGACTGAAAAGAGAATGAATATGTTATGCCTCAACATAAAGTATTTTATACAGAGATAAACTAGAAACCAATTTGCTGGGGATTACAACATTTCAATATCTGCATTTCACTCTGGTTGATAAAAGAGATGGCCATGAATTCTTGAAAGTCTGTACCACAAATACTAATCTAAAATACAGCAACGTTGTGATATTCCAGTATGTGATTATTGATGTTCTATAGGGCTTTCAGAAAATGCCTGGAACTGTAAAGCAATTGGTGTTTGACTTGGTATAAATAGAACACTTTTCAACATCTTGTCATGCTGTGCCAGGGAGCCCTTTAATTACAAATGCTTTAAAAATTTTCTTAAAGTTTTTATAGAAACTTAGTGAAATGTTCCTATTCTGTTCAGTTGTGGTAAGAGCTTCTAACTATTGAGTGCTAAGTACTTTCTTTTTATAGATCAAAATTATAGACTCTTTTTTAAAAGGGGGAAGCTGCTTTAGTTTCAGAGAAATTTGAAAATTTCCTGCACCTCCTTTTTGGTTGTGAGTGTGACTAGGAGCCTAAGGGAGGGAGCTAGACATGTCTTTGCACAGAGGGGAGCAGTGAGAGAGAGTGTTGTCTCTATAAGGAAGGAAGGCCCTTTCTCTCCAGAGAGACACCCAAATTGGTGACTTAAAGGAAGAACTCTGGAAACCCACTAGGCCCTGGCTTCTGCTCCAGGATGTCACCTGTGTTTTATCTATACGGTTGCCTGTAGTCTTGCCAGGCATGTAGGGAATTAACAGTGATAGGCACTGGGTGAAATAAAAGGCAAATTACTCATAACTCTTAATGGTGAAGGAAGAGCCCCACTGAGACCATAATTAAACCTCACTCTTTTAAAGAATGTTATCTTTGATCCGGGGCAAGAGTTCCTTCAGATGAAAACAGAACACACACACACACTCACACACACACACACACACACACACACACACACCTCTCATCTAATAAAACAGAGTATGAATACTTCTTAAAAAGGAAGGGATAATGGGAAGGAACTGTCAAGCATCTGTGGACATGAGCTTGCTTGTTATTTAATTTGCATTTTCAATATATATTCTCAGTCCAAGCAATATTGTCCCCAAGGGGGCAAAATTGTTTTTTGGGGAATGGAAAACTTTTTTTTTGTATAAAGCACAGATTTTCATAAACAGATATGCAGTATGTCTGTGACAGTGAAATTTCATGGGGGCCGATTAGGAAAAAAATATCTAAAGAGGCTCCTGAAAGGAACAATCACATAAAAAAGGTTGAGGAACACTGATTTAAAGACATACCGTTTTCACATTGTAACATTTCTGAAATTAGAATGGATCTTAAAATGGATAGCATGTCATAGTTTAATTTTTTTCTTTCTTGGTAGAACTTAGATACTATAGAATGGTAGTCTTAGATTTGCTGAAAAACCCTGTGCTCCCAAGTACTGTGAGATAAGACTACCTTTATTGTTTGACCAGAGAAAGCTGACAGAAGGATCCCTCAAAAGCAGAAGATTCTTGAACATGTAAAAACTGAAGCTATCAATGTCCCCTATTTTGTTTTCTTTTACACACACACACACACACACACACACACACACACACACAATTTTTTTCCTTATTTCTTTTTCTAACTAAATGTTTTCATGGATGAAGTCAACATTGTACAGTTTTCTACGTCAGAAATGTCAGTTACCTGTAACTTCCCCTGTGACCCGGTCTGAATGGATTTCTGATTCAGCTTTTCCTCCTTGTTGCAGTTGCTCACCCTCATCCCAACCCCCTTCAGCCACCCTTGCTTCTCTGCCCCGGCCCTCCATCTCATCTCTCTTGCGTCCACCTCTGTCTTCTCCAGTCCAGCCAGTAATGCTGCTGCCAGACCCATTTGCTTTTACCACATCACTTTCTTGCCCCCAAATCTATGGCAGCTTCATTTTGCCCTTTCCATTGTTTAAAGAAAAATAGAGTTTTACATGATAGCAGTTATGTCTATTAGCTGTTGATAATATCGCATTTGAATGCAGAGCAGTTTCTGGGCAAGGTTTGAATTTTTTTTTTTTGTGGGAGCATTTGCTAGACTTTATATTTCTTATTCTGTTTCCCTCTTTTACAGCTGGCCTTGGAAGAACAGGGACATTGATAGCCTGTTATGTAATGAAACACTACAGGTTTACACATGGTGAAATAATTGCTTGGATTAGAATATGCCGGCCAGGCTCTATTATAGGACCCCAACAGCACTTCCTGGAAGAGTAAGTATATTGTCCCCATTACCACATTACATCCTGTCCCTGATCCTTTCCACCTCTTGTTCCCCTGGTTGTGGACCACATCAGCCTGTGGTTATAAATGGCTGCATTATTAAGAGAAATGTGTGCCTCTAATAGAATATTGTTGATTTGACAGCTAATGCGTTCTAACTTTGTACCTTTTATATCTCTTAGATCAGGTGAGAGGGAGAAGAAAATCACAGAGCCATCTCTGCCTACCCTTTTTCTGTCATTTTCTATGTGTGATCTGGCTACAGTGCAATTTTCTTATGTCATCCCACTTGGCACTTTTCATTCTTTTCTTTTGTTTGCCTGTCTTCAAGTATAATGGAAAAAAAAACCACAATTAAGGTCACTCAGTGATTTCGCTAAGACTGCTGCTTTCCTGACAACTAACTAAACTGCTAATGTAGGTACAACTTATAAATACACCCAAGAAGTTACCAGAGAAGAAAAAGGGAGGAGCACTGGGTTTTAGTTCTGGCTCTGCCACTAACTAGCTTTATGACCATTATTTAGAATAATTATTCATTCATTCATTCATTCACATACCCATTCATTAGCTTTTTGTCCAGCCTCAGCTCAAGAGATGGAGAGATTTAACCTGTAGGACACAATCCTTTCTTCTTAGAATGTTAGAACTTACCTCAGTGTACTCATTAATAAAATGAGAAGATGAAATTAGTACTGGTTGGTCTAGGTCCAGCTCTAACATATTATCCAGTAGTGATATCTTTTACTGAAACTTCATCTTTTTCTTTTTATGCTGGGTTCACTCTATTTTATATTAACTTTAATTTTTTAAATTTTTTTGTAGAGACGGGGGTCTCACTATGTTGCCCAGGCTGGTTTTGAACTCCTGGGCTCAAGCAATCCTCCTACCTCGAGTTCCCGAAGTGCGGGGATTACAGGTGTGAGCCGCTATGACCGGCCCATGGCTCTCTTTTAAATAGCATTCTTTTTCCTTTCCAATTTAAATGTAGTTATTCCTTTCCAATTTAAATAATCATGATCACGTGTGAATTCATAAAGAAATGATAATGAATTTCATAGAAAGATACCATAAGTAAACTCTTAGCATCTGAAATGATGAAGAGGATTTGAGCCTGCTGAGGAATTATTTAGTTGCCAATCCTAGAGGTAATAACTGATTAAGAAGTGCTAAAAAATGAACAGTTATACTTTAGCTTAGAAGAATGATGCAGAAGTATAATGAATGCATTAGAAAAAATTATTAAAGTTGAATAAATGGTCTTAGGGTTAAAAAAACCAAATACTACTAAGCCTAGTTTTTTAAGCCATTTAATCAATCTCTTAAAATTACTGCCTGTCAGCCACTTTAGGCTAAAGAAAGGCTTTTAAATTTATAGATACTTAAGCTGTATATAAAGAACTCTCAAAACTCAAGAAAACAACTTCATATCAAATAGGTAAATGATTTGAACAGAAACTTTTCCACGATGATATAAAGATGGTGAATATTCCTCATGATCATAAACACTGAGTTCCTAAACAAACATTGCATATCAAATTCAGCTATATAAAAAAGATAGTACATCATCACCCTCATGGCCCAATATTAGAAAATCAGTACAATTCACCACCACATTAACACAAAAAGGAGAAAAATTATATGATTATCTCAATGGAGGTACAAAATTTGAAAAAGTTTAGTACCCATTTTTAATAGAAACTTTCAATAAACTAGAAATAGAAGAAAATTTCCTCATTCAGATAAAAATAATCTATGAAAACTCTACAGCTATAATTATATTTAATGGTGATGCTTTTCCTGTAAGATCAGGAACAAAACAAGGGTGTCTACTCTCACTACTTCTAATATACTGGAAATCTTAACGAGTGCAATAAAAAAAAAAAAAAGAAAGAAACCTTAGAACTAAAAAGTGAAATTAGTAAGGTTGCAGGATACAAAGTCAATGTTTAAAAATTTTTAGAAAAATTTTAAAAATCTGCTAATTAAAAGACATGCAGTATATATATGACAAAAGACTTTACACATATATTAAAAACTATAAATAAACAATTTTAAAAACTAATTTTTTTAAATAGGCAAAAGACTTGGCCAGATATCTCATAAAAGGTAATATACGTATATGAAAAGATGTCCAACATTGTTACTTTGAAGTTAACAAATGTATCTTAAGCGGTACACAGAAAGCATTACCTGTAACTGAGTTGAAATTGTGAACTTCTCTTCAAGTAAGACACTATTAAGAGAGTGAAAATGAAAAGCACAAGAGTAGCAGAATATTTGCATCGCATATAATGGGCACTGTACTTGTATCCAGGATACTTAGACTCCTACAAATTAGCAACAGAAAGACAATCTGATAAAAAACGTGTAAGAAACACCAAAAGGTAGAAGAGAATGTACAAATGGCCAATGAACATATGAAAAGCGATTCAACCTCATTAGCTATTTCATAGTTTTTGGTACACCTATCTTTTGGAGATATACCTGTGAATGGAATAATTGGGTATGTGTTCATTCAGCATTAGAATTATTAAACAGTTTTCCAAAGTAGATATGCCTGTTTATGTTCTCATCAGCAATGGTTTGTCAGCCTCCCTTTTAAACTTAAGCCGTTAGATGTTTTTAAGTGGTAACTTGCTTTATAGTTTTAATTTGTTTTTTCTTGATGACTAATGTTGATCTTCGTATATTCTAGATATTAGTCCTTTGTCAGATAAGCATTTTTCATTTTTTTTTTCAATCTATAACTTGTCTTTTCATCCTCTTAATAGGGTCTTTTACAGAATAAAAGTTTTAAATTTTGATGAAATCCCTTTTATTACTTTTTTCTTTTTGATATTGTCTAAGACTCTTTGTTTAGCCCTGGGCTCAATGATTTCTCATATTTTTTTCTGAAAAGTTTATAGTTTTACATTCACATTTAAGTCTGTGATGGATTTTGAGATTTTTTTTTTATTTCATAAGGTGTGAGACTTAGGTCGTTTCCTTTTTTTTTTGGCCTATGGATGTCCAGTTGCTTCAGTACCATTTTTGCTGAAAAGTCAATTTCTCCCCTGAATTATTTCTACAGCAGCATCAGAAATTATTTGGATATGTTTGTGTTGCTCGATTTCTTTGTTCTCTATTCTGTTCCATTGATCTATGTGTCTCTCCTTCCTTCAATACTGCACTCTCTTGATTACTGAACCTATATGGTGAGCCTGACATTGAAAGAGTGATTCCTTCTGCTTTCTCCTTCTTTAACAAAATATTCTTAGCAATTCCACTTTCTTTTCCTTTTCATATAAATTTTAGAATAAGCCTGTCTATATCTACAGATAATGTTGCTGGGATTTTGACAGGAAGTATGTTAATCCTCTATATCAATTTGGGGAGAATTGAAATCTTTACTATTGTTGAGTCTTCTAATCCATAACTGTAATATGTCTTTCCATTTATTTAGTCCTTCTTTGATTTCTTTCATCAGCATCGTGTAGTTTTCTGGATGCAAGTCCTTTTTTTTTCTGTTAGATTTACACCGAAGTACTTTTTTTTTTAAGTAATTATAAATGGTATTTATATTTTTAATTTTGATGTCCACATGTTCATTGCTAGTATGTAGCAATACAATGGGTTTTTCTATGTTTATTTTGTTTCCCGAAACCTAGGGGTTTTGTGTGCATGTATGTGTATGTATGTACAAGTTCTTGGGGATTGCTTTTTCATCCACAAATAGGACATTTTTATTTTCTTTCTAATATGTATACCTTATATTTCCTTTTCTTCCCTGGTTGGACAGGCTAAAACTTCCAGCACTGTGATAAGAGTGATAAGTGCAGACATCCTTGTCGTGCTCCCAATCTTGAGAGGAAAGCATCTAGGCATTCACCTGGATTAAGTATGTTAATTGAGGTTTTCTATAGATGTTCTTTATTAAGTTGAGGCAGTTCCCCTCTATTTCTATGTTTCTGAGAGTTTTTATCATGAATGGGTGTTGAGTCTTGTCAAATACTTCTTCTGCATTGATTGATATAATCATATGATTTTCTTCTTTACACTGTTAATATGTTAGATTACATCAACTGTTTTTTATATATCAAAGGAAGCTTATGTCCCTGGAATAAACCCCACCTGGTCGTGGTGTGTAATTCTTTTTATATGTTGCTGAATTCTGCGTGTTAAAAATTTGTATGTCCATATTCATAAGTAGCATTGGTTTGTAGTTTTCTTTTTTTGTACTGTTTTGTTTGGGTTTTGTGTCAGGATAATACTAGCTTCATGAAATGAATTGGGAATCGTTCCCTATTCTGTTTGTTGGAAGAAATTGTGAAAACTGTGTGAATTCTTAAAATGCTTGATAGAATTCTCCAGTGAATTTATCTGGACCTGAGGATTTCTTTTTTGGGAGTTTTAAAATTATGAATTCAATTTCCTTAATAGATATAAGGCAATTCAAGTAATCCATTTCATATTGGGTGAGTTATGGTGGTTTGTTTTTTGAGGAATTAGTCCATTTCATGTAAACTGTCAAATTTACATTTGTAGAGGGTTTTTTTTTTTTTTTTTTCATTATTCCTTTATGTTTGCAGGGTCTGTAGTGATTTTCTTGGCTTCATTTCTGATGTTAGTAATTTGTGTATTTTTTTCCCCTTTGTCAGTATCTCAAGAAGTTTGACAATTTTATTGATCTTTTCAAAGAATCAGCTCTTTGTTTCATTGATTTTTCTCCTTATATTTTCGTTTGCTTTTAATTTCATTGATTCATGTTTTTGTATTTATTATTTCCTTCTGCTTACTCTGGGTTTATTTTGCTCTTCTCTTTATAGGATCTCGAAGTGGGAGCTTAGATTATTGATTTAAGACTTTAATTCTTTTCTGATGTTTGCATTTAGTGCTACACATTTCTCTCTTAGCTTTGTCCCACAAATTTTGATATGTTTTATTTTCATTTTCATTCAGTTTCAATGTGTTTTTTGATTTCTCTGAGGCAGCTTTTTGATCTATGGAT